CTCACTATCATGCAATGAATTGTTTATTATACCGAAACAAGCAAAAACTTTGAAATAAACATAAACTTTCAAATTCGGCACCGCTCTCAAATTCACTTTCATTTTTAACGTAAAGTTACTGAAACCCTTTGACACATCACTAATCATCAATTTTGTGACGTAAACCAGGCTATTGTGACGTCTACTACTCTCGGGAGTTTTCTTTCAACGAACGATAACTATTGCGGGGAAATGCACTAGGTATCCAAAGGGGGGGGGGGTATGATGAAAAGCATGCCGACGACCGTGAAATATGAAGTTTTATGGCCCGATCACGTGATAATCTAGAACTAATCAGATAACGCGTTGTGAAGAATAATTATAATGAGATATAATAAAATGTTTATATATTTGTCTATTTCATTTTCACATATCTTTGTTTTTGCAATTGATGACTTAGGAAAGTCTATATGTTCATTTTTCTCCAAAGATCATGCTTAACCAAGCAGAAATGAGAACAACAACTCCAACATTGGTGGTGTATTCAAATCTGCTGTCACCCTTCAAGCCGTAAGCATAACAGCTGCCAGAATACAGGAAGATTCCAATCATAAACAGATAACCAGTCTATAAGAGAGAGAGCAATATATAAATAAACCTGATGAAGATGCAGAGATCAATAAATGTAACATTCCAGGGAAATGAAATGTTACATCTTTGTACATGTATTTACTGTTTTAATTCTGAAGAGGGTGTAAACCGGATATGCAATTAACTCTAGCAGAAACTCTCACTTTTCCCCATTAAACCAGGGGACTTACTGGCCGCAACTCTTATCTTATTCAAAAAATAAATTTGAAGATAAACGAAACCCTATATTGTAGCCGTCAACGTTTAATGGTAGTTCATAGATAAGTGTACTTACCACTGGTTTGTTGCACGTGTCTGAGTACGCAAGTGCTACGGAATGCACCAAATGCATTTTGTATCCTTTCTCGTAAATCTGGAGATAAAAAAGAGAAAACAGTGAATGGCAAATTAATTAATTTTGGAGCAAGATACAGTGTTACTTGACGAATACAGATAGCTCATGGTGGGTGTGGCGGTCGACAGGGGATGCTTACTCCTTCTGGGCACCTGGGGCTCGTAACATAAAGCAAGATAAGTTTTTGACTTAGTATGACTTTGGCACAGTCTTAGGATCTGCCAAAGTACTATTTAAGTAAGTCTTATGCTGTAATATAAAAAGAACTATGTGAGGTTTTAGCTTAGTGTAACTTATTTTCACTTATGGGAAATCTAGCATTTCAGTATATTTACATACACATTAAAAGTATTGATACAAAAAATTATTCATGAACGATTTAGTTATGTTTTTTAATTAAAAATTACAGTCGACATTCTTCGATCTTTTCCAATTAGAGTATGTTTTGTATTTAGATTATGATTCTATATTTCAAAAACAATTCTTAATGTCTCAAAACAAATATAGAAACACATGTGATTGTAGAGAGGAGCCCCTACCCCAACCCCATCAATATTTTCACCCCAAGCCAAGAGATTTTTCTATTTATTTTGTTTCATAAACAATTCATGAAACCAAAAAAAAAATGCAAAAAATCCCTGGGGTTTTTATACAGGGGAGGGAGGGGGTGGCAGAGACACAATGTGAATGCATGATTCTTGTTTATCACTCGAATGAATTGACTATTCCGACTTTTTAATCTATCTATTTATCTTACTACTTTTTGTTTTGACAAATGTTCAGTGTTTTTGTCAGACAGACAAAAAATCCGAACTTATCGCAACTGACCCTTTACAAGGCCGGGCTTACTTTGTGCTATTGCATTATTGAGATTGTGTATTTTTTACCTTTAAAAGTTTGTATGTATTTTTAATTGTATTTTAAGTAATAGTTTATTATGGAATCCTTTATTTTACATAATATAGTTATTTACAAGTAATCGAGGAGTTGTTAGGATCAGTAGTTAACAAATGTGTTTTTCATGTGCTAATCATCAGTGTTTTCTGGGCATCCCTTAAAAGTGTACTTAGTGCACTTAAAAGTGCTAAGTGGTTCTGACCATGGGTACCAAGACTTTATACAAGTGTGAAGGTAAACAGGGAATACTGTGAGGGATTAAAATTATATTATGCTTTTCTTATTTCGCATTACTTTTTGAAGGACCCTTGTTTATTTAAAGACGTACAACACAGTGGGGGAGATAACTCTTGCGATTTCAATGAAACGTTTAACATGACGTCAATTTGACGTCAATTATTAAGCGTCAAAATGATGAGCGATATGACCCCGATGTATTTAAAGGAAAAATGGGGTGAGAGGTTTTGATTGTGGTTTCTTTATGAATATCAAATCCTATCCTTGATCATTTGCGCAATTGCAATAAATTCCCTCCCCTCCATAAAAAGGAAGAAAAGACAGATTATCCCCTAACTTTCTTTGTTTTAAATTTAGTCAATTAATTCTTTAAATTTGTGATTATACCAAGGCATTTTTTATTTGAAAATGTTTATGCTACATTGCTGTATTCTGTTACAATCAGCCACATAACATTGAGATTACCGGTTTATCTTAATATTATCATATTATGCAAATAAATACCTGGAGCTATATTTTGTGGCAGAAGGTTTTTTTTAGAAGAAAATGATAAATTTTTCCCTTTTGAAATATATACAGCATTGTTAAGTTTAGATTCCTATTTTTCCATGCTGGTTGCACACAGAGCTGTTTTTGCAGTGAAATGCTTTATGCTGGTTCTGAAATATCTATTAAATTACTTCTTATAAATTCTTTCATTGTATTGTGACAAATATAGTAAATATATTCTGAAAGTCCAGGAAAAAATTACGCCAATTTTAACATAAAATTAACACTTTTTTTTAGTAATATCTAAAAATTTACATCATAGACCCCCACTTTTGTTTTTTCTTTTCTGAATATATAAGATAACGTTGATCAATCTCCTTAAATTCAGCAAAAGTTCAAGACTTAATCACATTTTGTGAGTGCAGAAAGGTCAAATAATTGATTATTCGAAGCAATTTGAAACTTTTTCTTAGTCACAATTTTAATGTGTCTTTTTTTTAATAGACTAATAGTTTATTTTGTCCCATGATTTATTTGGATAAAAACATTGGAGGGAAAACGTCAAAGACATGATTTTTGTTTAAGACACAAATTTCAGTGCGAAAAGGTCATATTAAATGTACTGTAGCGCCAAAAGAAGCATATTGACCCCCATTTTTTGTTTTGATTTTAATTAAGCTATGTGTGTAGAAAACTAAAAATATAATCGACCAAAAAGTTTAAGACTTTAAATATCAGGATCCATCCTCGTTAAGGGGTTTGGCAATACTAAGCCAGACTATTGTGATTTAGAAAAGTAGACATTTTGCTACTTTATTTTGTTTTTACTATGACATGAACATTTCCTGAACTTTAAACAGTCGTATTAATTAACCTATAACCTTATAGCTCAAAAGACTGACATCCTCACTACTAAAACTGTTATTTCTTTCCAGAATGTCATGAAATAGAACTGTTTTTCATCGGATGCAGATCAACAGCTTATACAATTTAGTACACTAAACTCATTTCAAAAGCATGAAAACATATCCGGAATTGCTTTGAAAATAAGACTTTATTTCAAACTACTAACCTCGTTCACTTGCTTTTCTTTTTTATTTTGCAGTTTAAAGGCTATAAAATGGAAAATCGTGTAAGTTTGACTATAATAAAAAAACAAAACAAAAACAAACAGACAGAAAACTTTATGACTTGCTATTTGCACCTCCAAATTAATACAGCAGGGTGGTGTTAAACAAAAGAATACTTTACAAATTAAGGTACTAAATATAAGTCACTAAGTTACTCTTTCTTTTTTTGTTTATACCTTAGACTGGAAATAAAGTTTGTACCAGCTTAACGTTAAGATTAGCTTGCCATCATACTAATTGCGCACTTTTTACAGGATGCATATATTTAAAATGAGGAAGCAAAGTATACAGTAAATACCATGAGTTCCATACGCGGCCATTGCTAAAGCCGCGGCACCAGACAGTCCGCCAACTTTCCGGAAAACCCCTCCTTTCTTCCCATAACCCAACATTTTGGCCACTTCACCAGTGATGAAAGAAACCTGGCTCCAGACAGTCAAAATCTCCATGTTTTAACGTTAACAGTTTTTATAATCTTGGCCTGATTTTTCCCCTCTTGCTTTTAATGTCCTGCTTAATTAATATTTCTCGTTAAAAATGTTTCAAAGAGCGAGTTCTACTCATTGGACAGAAGTACTTTCGAGTTATTTTAAATGACCAATGAAACTGCCTTCTTATATAAATTGAGAACTAGGAAATATTATCGATATGTCACGATATGATGACACATGGGTGATAAAAAGATATATATTTAAGTGTTTGTTTGTTTGTTTAACGTTCCTTTCGAGAATTTTTCACTCACATTCTAAAACGCCACCCCTTCCCAGTGGAGGGCTGCAAATTTTAGACCTATACTCGGCACTTAGGGATCTTTTTCGTCCCAGCACCTACTGCGACGCGGGACCTCGGTTTATACGATCTCATCCGAAAGACCGATCTCCATGTCCCGCAGTGGGATTCGCCCCGCGACTCTAGAGCAAACGCTCTAACCATTGCGCCACGCGACCACGCGGGCAACTCTGTTTAAATGTAAAATCACTTGTGTGTTAGGAAAGACTATAGTAACTCCGCAAATCGCGAACGAAACTTTCTAACCACTGAGCCTTTTGTGACCAAAATATGTAATACATAAGATTAATAAGTTAATATACATAACATTAAAAAGTCAATTTTTTAATGTCGGATATTGCATTAATGATACATGTACCTAAAACATAGCGTAAATAAGTCGAAAAACTGTTCCAAAAATGTCTTAAAATCTGAGAGCTTCCTGGGGCTTCGCCCCCTCCGACCCAAAACGAATTAGTATTATTCATTCGAAATAAGGGTTTTATGGTGTTTAGGAATCCAGTATAAGTATGTTAATTCAAATTCATTTTGATTGTGGGGAATATTAAAAATATTTAAAACTGGCATATGATTTTGAAGAATTTCCTCCTTAGTATAAGTTGGATTACCACTTGCAGAATTAAATCCCAGCTCCTCTAAAATACAATTAAAATTATGAAATTGTTATTAACTATAATTAACTCTTCTAAGCTTGAGCGCAAAGTTAAAAAAAAATCACAAATATTTAAAAAAAAAAATTCTACATAGAAAATTTATATATTACCGTTTTATTGATTATCATTTTCAGGAAATGTTGAGTCTCTACTGAAGTTGACTCCCTGGAACTGGAAGCACGTGGACACATCAGTCAAAGTGGATACGCCAGTTTCTGTTGACATTTCTCTTCTGTCCCACTATAGACTCACTGGGAAACATTTCAACAAGTACCAAAGTTAGTTTACAGAATTTGAGAGACAGAAAAATTGTTTATTTAGGGAATTATAATCATATCATGTTTTTGAGAAATGTGTTAATAATAATACGATACGATACTGGCTCGAAATAGGAGTATAAATACATTAATGAAACATATAAATTCAATTTCATTAAGCATATGTTTTGATTCTCAGCACTTAAAAAATAAGAGAATGTTTATAAAAATCATGCATATGATATGAACTCTTCGAAACAGGACTTCGAAAGCAAAGAGATTGTGCATCGATTTTAAAATTCATACCCAACACAAAAGGGAAAGATGGCGTCTACAGTATTTATTCAGATATGAAGACAAAGAAGCTCGTGTACTTTGACATGAGTACGGATGGAGGGGGCTGGACGGTAAGTAGTTTAATTCATGATTTTTGTTAATCAAATTTTAATTATTCATTCATTTATTTTACGTATCACATATTCTTCGGGGAAAGATAGTTTTCCTGTACTCACCTAGTAAATAAAGATTATATCAATTTTGAATAAAGATCTTTTTCGTGTACAGATTTTTCGTTTTTCCCAATAAGTTTAGTATGTTTACTGAAACCTTTTTCCAATGCAGGTTATTCAGATGAGGATTGATTTTTAAAGATCTTGGGATTCGTACAAAGAATGATTTGGGAATGTGGAGGGGGATTTCTGGCTAGGTAAGAGATACATTGATTATCCGTCATAATAATTATGTAGATAGTCCCGAAAATAAAGTTCAGATAAAATTGATTGATAATGTCTCCTAATAGATCCTTTAGTTGCATGTATTTCCCCCTTTAAATCCAATTTTTTAGCCAACACAAAACATAAAACGAACATTAAGAAATATTTACAAGTATACTGAACTCAAACTCAGATAAATATTGTGGCCCATGGACATGGTTTATTTTGCAATACGGAAATCAAAAGTCCTAGATTATAAATCAGGTAATTGTTAATTTGATTTCAGCCAATTTAGTTAATGATCTAACAGTTTACTTTAGTTCTCTATACTTCGCAATAGCATCAAAGTCTTTACCATACTATAGTGAATCACTGTTTGTAACTTAGTAAATCAAAATATTTTTGCTATGAATTTCAGCTTGTTATATTTAATGTTCTTCAATTTATACATGAAAATAAGCTATAGTAAATTACTGTTAGGGTTATCTTTAATCATAATGTCACTTACAAGAGGCCCATAGGCTCACCTGGATAACAATGATCTTGCTGTTCTTCAACAGCAGATCTTCCTTCATCTATTTCGAAGTAAAAATTTTATAACGTACTGTGGCCCCACCCACTACTGAAGGTTATGATTTGAACGAACTTGAATCTACAGAAACTGGGTATGCTTCCATATACATTGTAAATGCGACTAATCATAATTTTGTTGTTTCTTGAAAAGATTTTTCAAGATTTTTCATATATATTTCTTTGTAAAAGATTGATCATACATTGTGGCCCAACCCTTTCCCCAGGGGTTATTATTTGAATAAATTTGAATCTACATAACCTGAGGATGTTTCAATATAAATAGGTTGAGAAGGTTTTCACACATTTTTCCTATATATTCTTATACTACTAACACTTTTATCGCCCATTGTGGCCCCACCCCATCCCATCCCGGGGGTCATGATTTGAACAAACTTGAATCTACATTTTCTGAGGATGCTCCCCAATAAAAAATGACTAATCATGACTTTGCTGATCTTGAAAGGAAGATTTAAAAAAAAAAAAATTAGCATATTTACCTATGTGAATCCTTGGTCGCCCATTATGGCCCCATCCTATCCCTTGGGACAATAGTTTGATCAAATTTCAATCTACAATACCTGGGTATCCTTTCACATGAACATGACTTAACATGGCTTTGCGGTTGTTTTTCTGATTTTCTTAAATTCTCCCATGTAAAACTTCTATTGTGGCCCTACCCTACTTCCGGGAGTCATGATTTGAAAAATCTTTAATTGGTTTATTGCAATCTAGCAAAATTCTGAATTTCTTATTCCCATCTTGCCAAAGTTGTGATTTTCACACCTGAGTGAACACCGGTGAATAGTCTATTTAAAATGACTACCTGTAATTATCACCTGAGATGTACAATATCCTTTTAAAACTTTTGATATATAAATATCAAAAATTTATTCTATTACATGATAAATGAAAGAATGAGTTGACTCATTAAAGAAAGTATATATATATATATATATATATATATATATATATATATATATATATATATATATATATATATATATATATATATATATATATATATATATATATATATATATATATATAAGATTTTTAAATATTTATTTAAAAAAAATAAGGAATAAATAAATTTATTAATTAGAACAAAAAATGATTTAAAATCATTTATCACATTATCAGCCTTTCAAAGCACTTTACCTGGTCATTCTAAAACAGACTAATGGTTACCTGTAATTAATTTCATTTGTTCTCTCCCCTGACCTGCACATATTTCCCATCTAGAGAAAACCAGTCACCTGTATAAATTTAAGAATTCTGGCTAAGTGGGAAGACACCCTTCAATTTACACTATGCCATGAAGCTTTTATATAAGTTTCATCTTTTCTGGCCTAGAAGTTCTTGAAGAGGATCTTTTGAAGTTGCCATTAATTTTTTAGTAATTCTAAGTTATCTCCCCTTGAAGAAGAGTGTGGCTATTCATTGAAATAAAGGTAAATTTCCTTTACCTAATGCTGCTTTGTGTCAAGTTTGGTTGAAATTGACCAGTGCTTCTTAAAAAGAAGTCGAACATGTGAAATGTTTAAAGAGAAACGGACAGACAGACAGACTGGCAGACGGACGCCGGACAAAATGTGTTCAGGAAATTTCATTTAAGCTTTGAGCTCAGGTGAGATAAAAATGAATATCAATGAACAATTATGATTCTAAGCACTTCAAAACAAAAGATTTTTCCTCATAACCGTCAACAGACTTTAAAAGAAGTGACTATCTCTTCAAATACTTTATTTGATAGATTTACTTTTTTTCCATACAATCAAGTGTTTATACATTTATATAAATATTAAACAATGTTTGCATCTTTACCTTCAATGTTTACCAGACAAATTGATTTATATGTTTATTGACTTATCTGTGTGCCCATTTTCTCATCTGTATGAAATTGCACATTTAAGAATATATATATATATATATATATATATATATATATATATATATATATATATATTCTGAACATTATTCATGAAATGGATCGCCAATTTTAATTAACTTAGAGAACCTGATCCTACATAATCTGCTCCCAATTTGTATTGTTCCAGTGGACTTCATTACTTTTTATATTCATATTTAGTTTTTTCTCTTAATATAAAACATTGATCTTTAAGAACATTGTTGAAATTTTTGAATTTGTATAAAATATATAATTGCCCCAAATAGACATTTAGATGAGTTTTTGAAATGCATCGGATCTCTATGTATTATTTCTCTATTTCTCATTGGTTCAGTCTGTTTATATACTTTTCTAAGAGTTATTTAATAAATTTGTTTTAGGGAATGAGCCCATTCATTTACTCACTAAAAGGAAACGGCATGAACTGAGAGTGGGCATTCGGAAATTTTCGGGTGAAAAGACTTTTGCAAAATACTCAACGTTTTCTCTCGGACGCGAGTCCCAGAAATTCAAGTTGACAGCCAGTGGGTACAGTGGTACCGCAGGTGATTAAGTAACAGAAATATTCTTTCATTGAATGTCAGTGATTGTTTCCCAAACCGATTTTTTTATACAGATTAATATTCATATGAATAGAATGTTTTGATACTGACGACTTACATAAGAAGAGTAAAATATACAGAATAAGCCTGGGATAAAATAAATAAAACTTAAACATTAAATTGCTCTCAACAAGACAGAAGTGGTACAAGAAAATGTTAAAAAAAAATGAATATATTTTAGGGGATAGTTTAGCATATCATAATGGGAGACCTTTCTCCACGATGGATGCTGACAACGACTCATGGAAGAATTGCGATCATAGTGATCTGAACGGACAATATCTCAAATCTACAGTCAAAACGGATCGTTGTGTTAATTGGGAGCATTTTGGAAAAGAAGTTGTTTGCTTGAAGACTGCAAAAATGATGATTAGGCCCAAAAGTTAAAATCAAATTGTTTTAAAATATCAATAAAGGAAGACAACACATTTCCTTTTTGTTGATTAATTTTAGTCAATATTTTGACCTTAATTTTTGGCACATACGTAATAACGTTTGAAAACGTGATTCAGATAACAAGGAATATTTTATACACAGAGAATATTCGATAAAATTATAATATTAGAATTTTGAAATTAAAAAAAAGAACAAACAAACAAACAAAATCAACAGTTGACCACATTAAAGAAATTTGATATATTTTGATCGAAAGTTAAACTTACTAATTAAAACAAAACGTATGAATTTCAAGATCTCATTGCCTTATGATCTTCAGGTTTGAGAAATCACAATCACATTCAATCAAAATCATGTCACATTTTATCACATGAAAGCTCAAATCATTGCACCCAAGGGATCGAAAGTTAATTTCTAATGGCCAAGTAACCTGGAAAGTATTGGAGATAGGACTAAAAGTCAGCAACTTGATCACCCTCCATAAAAGTTCCCTTAAATGGTTCTGTTCTGCTCAAATGATTTTTGTACATTAGAATTTTAATAATTATGACATCTGTATAAAAAAGAAAAAAAAAGAATTAACAACAAAATGAAGATTTTGCCAGTCTAAAAATTAATGTTAATGAAAATATAGCACTAATTTATCAGCATCCGAATCAGATTATATTTTCATCTACTTTAAAACATGATTGTGACGTAAACCTTTTGTTTGTGTTGTCCATTCTATAGCTTAATGTTGAGCTAACTCTTCAAACAATCCATTAAGTTACCTGTAAGTGTCCATTCTTTTTCGAAAACTGTCCATTCTTTTATGAATGGACAGTTTTTTTCAAAAAGAATGGACAGTTAAAACAAACAGAATGGAGAGTTACAGGTAAACTTTGGAATGTGTTCAAGAAGGAAACAAAAACAAATACATTAAATACTTTTTAATTTACATTTAAATAACAAAAAGAACGCGGAGATCAAAGTTAATCCAGAACACAATGTCTGCACAGCATCCACTCGATTTTACTCTTTTTAATCCATAAATGATGCACATTATTTCAATACCCAAAACTTAATTTTCACAAAACTTGACTTCAAATGACACAATTTCACATTTGAATTAAATTTCGGAAAAATAATTCCCTCGAGGAGAATTCATTTTCAAATAGAAGTACGTCCAATATTAAATCCTCCACCCAGAAAACAGTTTGCACCATGAACACTACACTGCTGCAGTTAATATTTCGGTAGAAAATAAATAAAAATGAAACATTTCCAAATTTGATTTGAAAAACATTTTCAGGTCGAAGATTGGCTCATGGCTAATCCAACACTCAGAGCACAATTTGCATCTCACCATTACACTGCTGCAGTTAATATATCCTCAAAATAGAATTCAAATAAAACATTTCCAGGTTTGATTTGAATTTGATCATCTGTATCTGTCGTCGAAGTTCATTTTTGGGTCAAAATTTGGCTAATATTTCTTTTACTCTTACTTTTCTGTTTCCAGATCGAAATATCACTGATTTCATGCATAGTTTGGTTAATTAGATTTTGATTCTGTCATATACTCTCCCCATCACAGGAAAACATGTTCTCTATGCCTTTACAACGCAAAGTGTAAACTCATTTTGAAGCATCGCATACCGATATATATATATATATATATATATATATATATATATATATATATATATATATATATATATATATATATATATATATATATATATATATATATATATTATATATATACTAGTATTCCACAAAATTCACCTGTAACTGTCCTTTCTTAAGACAAAGAACTTTTGTTATTTGCATCCGGAAACACAATGGCTTTTCAACAAATTACTCATTTTGTACATTTTTTATTTAATTTTCAGAACAAAGGAAATCATGTTTTAAGTAGGAGAAAGGTCTCAAACTGTCCATTCTGTGAGAGAAAGTACTAATCTCGGGCCTACGGCCCTCGATTAGTTCTTTCTCTCACAGAATGGACAGTTTGAGGCCTTTCTCCTTTACATAGATGTTCTTATTTATTTCTTATGAAACTGATTGTGGTTAATGAATCAGTTAACACAATATACTTGTAAACTAGTTGTATACATTTTTTTATTATAAGCCTCCGTATTAAAAAATCAAAGATCAGCTATTTCTTTGGTCTTTCATCAGTGCAATGTATATATTTTACGTACTTTCGTCCATTTTATACGAATAAGTTATACAGATAAGACCATCATTAAAAAATTCTTTGGTTGTTTTCTCCCGACTGGCTAGAAATGGTCCGACTCAAAACTTTTTTTAACCTCCAAAAAGCAATTATTTTTTTTATGCATTCTAGATAATAGATTTTGAAAATTCAGCATTGAAATTGAAATTTCCTGGGGAAAAATTCTCACCTACCTACATATATAAACTGGCTGATTGTCATATTTATCACATAAGGGAACTATCCACATGTTGATATAATTATTGTGTAATTTGAGTTTACACATGTATACATGTGTATGACAAAATTTTGATTTAAAAAATACATTTAAGAAATCACTGCTAGAGTAGGCGAAAATGCCTATCATATGCACTATGGCGCTTTCTTTGGCGTACATGTATCAGAAAGCATATTTCACCCCTTTTGTTTGGGCTATTCATTCATTTATTTTAAAAAAGGCTGCTCAAAAAGGGCAAGACGCTGTATTTAAGAACATTGCCCCACACGAAAATGCAATGCCGCTGCTGCCATGCCAAAATCTCAAGAAAAAAAATACCATTCCCATGGTTCAATGTAAAATGAAAACTGGCAGATAACTGACAGATACCGCAATTCAAAGATTGAAGCCATGGCCGAAGCCAAACTTAGAGTAAAATCTGAAACAAATATAATGATTTTAAGGTTCCGGCTGGAAGTATTCGGAACGTAAATTATACGACACCGGTCACACCTGCCCTGAACTCTCTGTATTGATTAGGTAAACAGTCATTCGCAGTATGACTATACACGGCTTTGCTGTTCTTGTGAAGAAGATTTTTAAAGATTTTTCCCTATATATTTATACAAAAAACTTTGACCCCACATTGTGGCCCCATCCACTCCCCAGGGGTCATGACTTGAGAAACTTGAATCTGCATTATCCAACGATGCCTCTATATCAATATGACTAAACATGGCTTTGCTGTTCTTGAGAAAAATATTTTTGAAGATTTTCTTCTATATATTCCTAATAAAAATATGTAAAACTTTGATCCCAGAATGTGGCCCCAAACAACCCCCGGGGATTAAGATTTGAACAAACATAAATCTACACTACCTGAGAATGCTTCCATATCAATATGACCAATCATGACTTTTCTGTTCTTGAGAAGAAGATTTTTAAAGATTTTACCTATGTATTCCTTCGTAAAACGTTGATCGCCCACTGTGGCCCCACGTTACCCATGTGGCTCATGATTTGAACAAATTTAAATCTACACTACCTGAGGATGCTTCCATATAAATATGACCAATCATGGCTTTCCTGTTCTTGAGAAGATTTTAAAAGATTATTTTCCCTTTATACTCCTATGCAAAAATTTTATCCCCCATTGTGGCCCCACCAAACCCCCATGGGCCATGATTTGAACTAAATTGAATCTACACCATCTGAGGTTGTATCCATATCAATATGACAAATAATGGTTTTTGTTGTTGTTGAGAAATTTTGTGATTATTTTTCCTATATATTCATTCCTATAAAACTTTGATCCTCCATTGTGACCCCACCCTAACCAGGGGTCATGATTTGATGAAAAAAACACTTGAATCTATACTATGTAAAGAAGGTTTCATATAAATTTCAACTTTTTTGGCCCAGTGGTTCTTGAGAAGATTTTTGAAAGATACCACTAATTTTTCACTTATTCTTAATTATCTCCCCTTGAAAGAGGATGTGGCCCATCATTTGAACAAATTTGAATCCCCTTCACCAAAGGATGATTTGTGGCAAGTTTAGCTGAAAATGGCCCTAGATTTTCTGGAGGAGAAGTTAAAAATGTAACAAGTTTACAGACAGACATCTAGACGGACGACAGACAAAATGTGATCAGAAAAGCTCACTTGAGCTTTCAGCTAAGGCGAGCTACTAATAATCAGTAAATGCAAAGAATTTGCAAAATGCTCACTTTAAACGAGATAGAAGATGAAAACCTATTAACATTAACTTAGTAGCCTGCTTTTTAAAAATTGATCGTTCTCTAAACTTGCTCTTGAGTATCGAATGAGTTAGAAGAAATACATATATACATACATATACTCGGCACTCAGAGCCATCGAGCAGTGAGGGATCTTTTTCACGCCAACACGAACTGAGACACGGGACCTCCGTTTATAGGGTCTCATCCGAAGGACCGGTCTCCACGTCCCGCAGTGGATTCGAACCCGTAACACTTAAGGACCAGCTCCTTTCTCCCCAACGCTAAAGCAGACGCTCTTACCACTGCGTCACGCAGGCGACTAAATGGTGAAATGAAATCAGTCGTGGGAGTTGAAATTATGATTAACAAAAAAAAAAGTTCAGTAAGTGGGTTTTGTTTTTATTTTTTTATTTAGAGGAGGAACATGTTGGCTTTTGCAAACCATACCCCAACACGAACTATTAGATCAAAATGCATGCTTAAAGCAAGGCAATTCTAACGTCATATAAGCAATAAATAAATAAATAAATAAATAAATAATTGTAGTAAAATAATTATCATTACAATGCCCCCTTCTTCTGTCAAACAAGCCCCACTTCTGGAAATATATCAGAATGTTTTACAAAATATTATCCTCAGGCTAATCAGTAATCATTGATTTTTTTCATTGCAAGAAAACGGGAATAGGACAACATGCAAGGTCTTACTCAGTTCATTACAAAGATGCTTAGGTTATCCCTCTTCACAAGCAAGAAGACTAGGCCCCTATAATACGGTTTGCATTTTACCAACTGTGTCAAAGGTTTTTGAGATGATATTGACTATCTAATGGT